CAGAGCGGAGCCCGACCGCCCGAGTAAAGGGTGTGTTTTTGACACGCAAAATAGAGGGGCTGGGAAGAAACAAAATGCTTGATAACAAATAATGACAAATCGGAGTACGATTATTAAATGGCAAAGAGGGATTTGACATTCCCGCTCATCAAAACTAGTTCAGTCTATAACAATGGATTTTGTGATTGACACAGGAGTTTTGCAAAACAAAGAGATTTGTTGTGCGGAGGAGAAAAATGTATGCATGTTAAAGCAGACTCTGAGATGATGCTTAATAGCAATAACGTCATTTCGGAGTACAATAATATTAAATGGCAAAGAGGGTTTTGACATTCCCGCTCAAAAAACAAAAAAAAAGTTCAGTCAATTACAATATAACAGATAGACTCAAATTTTTGGAATGCTATACAGATAATAATTATTGATAAAGAGTGAGGAGTTCGGTCTTAATAATCCCAGTAATCAAGATCAAAGGTCAATAAAAACTTGTCTCAAGCTTCCAGCCCAGTGGAGGGTAAGCTATATACATTCCTTCATGATACAAAATGGAGCTGCATGCATGACACCCGAATGTATAGAACCGTGACAATTTAGCATTAGTGAAAAAGTACAATTCCTTCAAGATTCAAATGTTTTTTTCCATTATTATTGGTCACAAAACAGTAAAACACACCAAAACATAAATGCAGATTCGAAATGAAAGTAAGGCTGCTCAAACAATGGACCCATCGCTCTATGCGTCGAGTATGTTTGTGATAGAGCGCCACAGCGGGCCGATGTGAAGATCGGTTAACCGTGGCGCGGAGAAGCCACGCCCTGTTCCTATACGTCAGACACGCGTAAGCGATAAGTCCATGTATTTGTTAAGGTTATAAGCACACGAAATTGCGAATGTATTTTTGATTGACACAGGTGATTAGAAAGATACATGCATGCTAAGACAGGCTCGTTTGTACATACTTGATAACTGTTATGACAATTCGGAGTACAATAATATTAAATGGCAAAGAGGGTTTTGACATTTCCGCTTATCATAAAAAAGAAAAAAGTTTCGTCAATTACAATATAACAGATAGACTCAAAACAGTTGAATGCTATACAGATAATAATGATTGATAAAGAGTGAGGACTTCGGTCTTGATAATACCAGTCGTCAAAATCAAAGGATAACGAATACTTGTCTCAAGCCCATTTGAGGGTAAAGAATACATTCCTGCATGATACAAAGTTCTACTGCATGTCCCCTGGAAGGAATACAATCATGACAATTTAGGATTAGTGACAACTGTACAATTCTTTCAAGATTCAAATGCTTTACCCATTTGGACAATCGAATTTTCCATCATGATAATTGTCACATACAAAAACCAAAAAAATAAAAATAAACAAATAAATTGAGTTTTGATAAGAAAGTTAGGCTGGTCAAACAATGGACCCATCGCACCCATGCGTCGAGTATTTCTGAGATAGAGCACCACTGCGGACCAACATGAAGATTGGTCAGCCGTGGCGCGGAGAAGCCACGCCCAAACGTTAGACACATGTGAACGATAAGCCCATGTATTTGTTACATTTTAATAAGCCCATCATATACGTATCGCGTGACTGATACGGGTGTTTTGCAAATCAAAGAGATTCGTTGTGCAGATGAGAAATATTCATGCATGCTAAAGCAGACTATGACATACTGTTTGATAGCATGACAATTCGGAGTACAATTATTAAGTGGCAAAGAGGGTTTTGACATGAATTCCCGGTCATCAAAACAATTTCAGTCAACCACAATAAAACAGATGGATCCAAAACAGTTGAACGCTATACAGATAATTATTGATAAAGGGTGAGGAATTCGTTCTTGACAATCCCAGTAATCAAGATCAAAGGTTAATACAAATTTGTCTACGACCCCTAGGCCAGTGGAGGGTAAGCTATACATTCCTGCATGATACAAAATGGAGCTGCATGACCCCCGAAAGGTCATGACAATTTGAGATTAGTGACAACAATACAATTCTTCTCAAGCACACACACAAAGAAAAAGCAACAAAAGAACGGGTAGGGTGGATTTGCATAATGAAAGCTAAAGCGTGATGGAATTCAGATGACGATACTAAATAAAAATACAGGCACACAAACAGGTCACCCTAAACTACATGTAGAAGAGATTTCTCTTTTCCCCTTATATCAAAAGTAGTTTTCTTTGATAGTTCCCCTAATGCAAGTTCTATTCAAAATTAACTATGAGTGCCTACACTTAACTGTTCATCGCTGAAAATTAGCTGTATATAAAGACCTGTTCACTGTATAATGTATCATATTTTAATAAGAATATTCTTTGTTTTAAAAGAAATGTGAATGACTGATGGATAGAAGGCAACTTCAAACACAGGGTTTGGTATGCTTATAACCCCACCCCTCTTGACACCAGCGCCGATACAGCTATATTGATGACAACACTGTTGGCAAAAGTTAAAGAGGAAAACTTGTATAATATTAATAAGACAAAACGAATGTTTACCTGGTACTTAGTCAGTTGAATACCAGCTAGGCTATATAACTCGCCAGCTTCCGCCAGTCCTTCGTACCAAACTCTATTCTCATAGAGAAGAGAATACATGCCCCCGGTTACATTCAAACATCTCATTTTTCAACAATAACCTTTTACATGTGTCGGATACATTTCTTTATAATTTGGGTATTTTCATGTATTAACTTTCAACTAATGAATTGCCTGATTCTAGTGCTCTCTTTTCACTAAGAACTTGGATATTAATTCTTACCCTACCAGGAAAAGGAATGATTTTCACATCCCCCGTTTGCGCACTACATTTTCTCAAAAAACAATTGTGTATACTGGTCCATCTTTCTGGAAAAATCTTCATCCTGATTTACTTCACCCTTCTTCTATTCATCAATTTAAATATAAACTCAAGTTACATTTGTTGAATGCATACAACAATAATGATGATGAGACATTTCATGTATAATGTTCTTTTTTCTTATAACGTGTACCATTTTACAATTCATTTTACAATTCATTTGCAATTTTAGGCGTTCTTTGGAATGTGTGACATCAGTGAATTTTAACAGGAAATGAATGAATAATTCATGATTTTTAGTGTTCGGTTTTTGTAAACGTTCATGTGGTGCAAACATGTGGTGGAAATAGGTGCATTCTCTGCTATTTATTGGCTCGTTACTCCTCTTCGTCTTACTGTATTTCTTTTTCTTTCCCCCCTTTCTTTCCGTTTTGCATTTTATTGAACTCGCAAACAATATTTTACTGCCGTCTTAATTTAAATTTTGTACTTCTCTCTACAGTAAACATTTTCTGTCCCTGTCATTTTTTTCAAGTCTCCCAAGAACCTATTCTTTACAAGCTTTGCTTTTCTATAGGTTCCTGCACATTTTACAGTTTGTACTTTTGTCTGTGTTTCCTTTAAATGATATTAGTTGTCAAACAAATGTGATGACATGTAACTTTGTAGTCTGATTACCTTGTCAATTACTATAATCATTTTTTTAAAATTATGAAGCAATATGTCTTTTATGTTTTTTGTTGTTATCTGTAATATATCTGCATGTGAAACCAATGAACTCAACTCAATACAGTCAATTGAAATATTTAGAGTCTATAATCATTATAAGCACACACAAAAAGAAGAAGCAACAATAACGGTAGGGTTGACTTGATTTATGGTAAGCTGAGCGTGATGGATTTCAGATGACGATACTAAACAAAAATACAGGCACACAAACGGGTCGCCCTGCACTACATGTGGAAGATTTTTTTTTCCTTCATATCAAAAGTAGTTTCTTTGATAGTTCCCCTAATGCAAGTTCTATTAGAACATTCAAAATTAACTATGAGTGCCTAAACTTTATTCAACCAATTCGTGAAGAGATTATACGATAGCATTTGAGTTGCTTACTTTTGTTAGTATACAATTTCATGGATGTATGATTTTAATACGATCACAATGATATAACTGCAGTTATCTATCTATTTTGACGAATAACGATGGCGTTGATATTAGTTATAACAATAGCAATAATGATCATAATCATTTGAAATCATAATTTGTTCTCATAATGCTTAATACATAAATGATCATTATATTGAATAGCCCGTTAAAAGCAATGGAGAGATATTTGTAATCATCTAATCAGAAAACTAATTTAGCAATTGTGGATGTCGTAAAATTATTTCTGTGAAAGGACGAGATTTGTTTCTGCTTTGAAATTGTTTGGTTAATTGTTTTGCAAGTTTCATACTATTGTACTCTGTTTCTTGTATTATTGTAATGCTGGTGGGAAGCATATTTCCACATTGTGGACAAAATAAATAATATCAAATATCATATCATACTTGATATTGACGAGAGTTTGGTATTAAATGGACAAAATCGTTTTTTAAACCATAAGGAAGCTTCACACCAAAAATGGTTCTTTTGGCCGCCGTGTCACGATAGTAGATTTTCTTTTACCCTATGCCAACCCACTATGAGAATAAGCACACACACAAAGAAAAAGCAACAAAAGAACGGACTTGCATAATGGAAAGCTAAAGCGTGATGGATTTCAGATGACGATACTAAATAAAAATACAGGCACACAAACAGGTCACCCTAAACTACATGTAGAAGAGATTTCTCTTTTCCCCTTATATCAAAAGTAGTTTTCTTTGATAATTCCCCTAATGCAAGTTCTATTCAAAATTAACTATGAGTGCCTACACTTAACTGTTCAACGCTGAAAATTAGCTCTATATATAAACCTATTCACTGTATAATGTATCATATTTTAATAAGAATATTCTTTGTTTTAAAAGAAATGGGAATGACTGATGGATAGAAGGCAAGTTCAAACGCAGGGTTTGGTATGCTTATAACCCCACCCCTCCTGACACCAGCGCCGATACAGCTATATTGATGACAACACTGTTGGCAAATGTGAATGAGGTAAACTTATAATATTAATAGGACAAAACGAATATTTACCTGGTTCTTTGTCAGTTGAATACCAGCAAGGCTATATACCTATGTGCTGCACGTCCGGCATAGTCCGTTTGACCGATCAGCATAAGTCTATTTTGTACGGTTACAAACAGTGACGAGCATAGCAACGAATTGGAGCGCGGAAAATCGGATGATTGGGCGCATTCCATACGATAGCTAATAAATGCGACTACCGCTTCTCGGACAACTAATGGCAGGCGCGTACGCATTTTGTTCAAAACTAAAACCCTGTAATAAAGCATAGGTATAGCGCGCAGTCTTTACTCCAGACCCAGTTATTTAAAAAAAAAAAAAAAAATCTTCAAAACTAAGACCCCATAATCCTTTTCCTGTGGAATAACATGAGAATCGAGCGTAGTCTTTTCTCCTGACCCGGTTATTCAAAAGTAAAAAAAAAAAAAAAAAAAAAAAAAAAAAAATTAAACTAAGACCCCACCATCGTCCAAACTAAGACCCGGTAATAAAGCATGGGTTTAGAGCGTAGTTTTTCTTCCAGACACGGTTATTTCAAAACTTTTTAAAAATCTTCAAAACTAAGTCCCCATCATCTTATTCCTGTGGAAGAACATGAGTATTGAGCGTAGTCGTTCCTCCAGACCCGGTTATTCAAAATTTAAAAAAACAAAAAACAAAACAATACAAAACAAAAACAAAAAAAAACTTTAAACTAAGACCCCTCCATCTTCCAAATTAAGACCCGATAATAAAGCATGGGATTAGAGCGTAGTCTTTACTTCAGACTCGGTTATTTAAAAAAAAATAGAAATTTAAACAAATCTTCGAAACTAAGACCCACCATCTTATTCCTGTGGAATAACATGGATATAGAGCGTAGTCTTTCCTCCAGACCCGGTTATTTTAAAAGAAATAGAAATTTAAACAAATCTTCGAAACTAAGACCCACCATCTTATTCCTCTTTTTTTTTCATTTAAAAGTAAATTACATTATTACATATGTGGATACAACACGTCACAAATAAATGATTGGTCGGCGGTCACACGAACTGACGAATCAGTCAAAATGGTCCATATATATATAACACAGAGGAGGGACCGATTCGATGGTTCGTTGACCGTCGACGATTTGTTTAGAGAAATAGAATTCAAACGTGGTTTTTTTCTAATTCCATAACGGTGGTTTACAAATAATGCTGAAATGAGATAATTTTCCGAGATTTTTCCTCACTTTATGCGTTTGTTGGAAAATGACAAATTCCTAAATTTTCAGCCAGGCAAGAAAATGCTTCTTGAGATGCCTACATATCAGGGCCCGCGGAGCGGCGGGGATCGGGATCCTCGAGCCCCCACACTTTCTTTGAAAAAGTATATTAAAGAGAAATAGAAAGAAAGAGATCGAGAAAGAAAAAAAAGTTAACTGCCAGTGTCACATATGTCACAATGTGTCACAATGGGGTATCAAAATATGCTCATCTGACCATGATTAAATGCCTAAAACTCCAAAGGCTCTGCCCCCTGGATTCCACCTAGGACCCTAAGGCGGGCCCTTAGATGCTCATCTGACGGTCATTCATTGCCTAAAACCCCCGATTTCTGGGGGCTCTGCCCCCTGGACTCCACGCCAAATATTGTCCTGCCAGTGTCACAAATAATAAGGTATCAAAAATGCTCATCTGACCGTAATTAAACGCCTAAAACTCCTGAGCTTCCGAGGGCTCTGCCCCCTGGACCCAACCAAGAGCCCTTAGGCGGGCCCCTTGATACACATCTGACCGTAATTGAGTGCCTAAAACCCTTGAGATTCCGGGGCTCCTTCCCCTGAACCCCAAGCCAATTATTGACCTGCTACTGTAACAATTAGGTATCAAAATAATGCTCATCTGACCGTAATTAAATGCCTAAAACTCCTGAACTTCCGGGGCTCTGCCCCCTGGACCCCGCCTAGGGCCCGAAGGCGGACCCCTGAATGCTAATCTGACCCTAAATTAAAACCTTAAACCCCTGAGCTTCCGGGGCGGATAAGGTATCAACATATGTTCATCTGACCGCAGGCGCGTTGCCAGGGGGGCGGTGGGGTGGTCCCCCCATAAACGCCGGCCAAAAAAAAAGAGAGGAGTGAAAAGGAAGAGGACGTAGAAAGAAAAGGAAATAGACAAAGAACATTTTTGAAATTCAGACAAGGATTAAGAGTCGAGAACGGTACAACGAATCGTCTTCTATCTCTAATGATTTAATGAAACGTGAAAGCTTCCGCGCTTCGCGCGGGGGAGGGGAGGGGGAACTGAATTCAGATGAGGATAATTTTCGAGAACGGTACAACGAATCGTCTTCTTTCTCTCAAAATTTAATGAAACGTTGAAGCAGGGGGAAAACTGAATTTAAACAAGGATTAAGAGTCGAGAACGGTGTACAACGAATCGTCTTCTTTCGCTAATGATTTAATGAAACGTAAAAGTTTCCGCGCTTCACGTGGGAGGGGGGGGGGGAGAGGAAACTGAATTTTGACAAGGATTAAAAGTCATAACGGTACAACGAATCGTCTTCTTTCGCTAATGATTTAATGAAACGTGAAAGCTTCCGCGCTTCGCGCGGGAGGGGGGAAACTAAATTATTTTCGAGAGCGGTACAACAAATCTTCTTCTTTCTCTAATAATTGAATGAAACTTGTAAAGCTTCCGCGCTTCGTGCGGGAGGGGGGGGGGAAGAACCGAATTTAGACAAGGATTAAGAGTCGAGAACGGTACAACGAATCGTCTTCTTTCTCTAATGATTTAATGAAACGTGAAAGCTTCCGCGCTTCGCGCGGGGGATGGGGAGGGGGAACTGAATTCAGATGAGGATAATTTTCGAGAACGGTACAACGAATCGTCTTCTTTCTCTAATGAATTAATGAAACGTCAAAGCTTCCGCGCTTCGCGCGGGGATGTGAGGGGGAAAATTAATTTAGACAAGGATTAAGAGTCGAGAACGGTACGACGAATCGTCTTCTTTTTTCTAATGATTTAATGAAACGTAAAAGCTTCTGCGTTTCGCGCGGGAGGGGGGAAACTAAATTAAGACTAGGATTAAAAATCATAACGGTATACAACGAATCGTCTTCTTTCTCTAATGATTTAACGAAACGTAAAAGCTTCCGCGCTTCGCGCGGGTGGGGGAAACTAAATTATTTTCGAGAGCAGAACAACGAATCGTCTTCATTCTCTCAAAATTTAATGAAACTTCGAAGCAGGGGGAAAACTGAATTTAGACAAGGATTAAGAGTCGAGAACGGTATACAACGAATCGTCTTCTTTCGCTAATGATTTAATGAAACGTAAAAGCTTCCGCGCTTCACGTGGGAGGGGGGGGGGGAGGAAACTGAATTAGACAAGGATTAAAAGTCATAACGGTACAACGAATCGTCTTCTTTCGCTAATGATTTAATGAAACGTGAAAGCTTCCGCGCTTCGTGCGGGAGGGGGGAGAACTGAATTTAGACAAGGATTAAGAGTCGAGAACGGTACAACGAATCGTCTTCTTTCGCTAATGATTTAATGAAACGTAAAAGCTTCCGCGCTTCGCGTGGGAGGGGGGGGGGGGGATTGAATTTAGACAAGGATTAAAAGTCATAACGGTACAACGAATCGTCTTCTTTCGCTTATGATTTAATGAACGTAAAAGCTTCCGCGCTTCGCGCGGGAGGGAGAAACTATTTTTTTTTCGAGAGCGGTACAACAAATCTTCTTTCTCCAATGATTTATTGAAATGTCAAAGCTTCCGCGCTTCGCGGAGGAGGGAGGGGAAAAACTTGCCCCTCCCTGCAACCACCCACCCCTTATTACGTCACTGCTGGTTGCCATTACGTACCAATATTTGGCTCGCATAATTTCAAATTTGGGCCTCCCCCCTAAGAAATCCTGGATCCGCGCCTGATGTACGCTATTAGTGACATTGAAACGTTGGATTGCGATGTTATATTTTCATGAGTGCGTGAATGAATTACCTTTCTTCATGTGATGAACGTATCAATTACTCATACTGAAGACTACCAATTGGTACGCGGTACACGGTGTGAATTCATGAGAACGAAATTAATTTAAAGGCAAATACAAACAAAACACATTATATTACAGTTTTTCCTACTTCTGAAACACTCAAGCAGCTATATAAACAAGAACAAGTCTGAAATGATAATCGGTTAACAAGCAAATAACAACGCATACTTTTATATAACATATTCATAAATAGCTGTATAACGAGATCACGCGAAACATATTTGCATGTTTTTAATGAACGATTGCAGAACCCTTTGACTGATAAAATATCTATATACTCTCTCAATCATGTTTTGGTGTTCATTGTTCTCTGGAATGTACATTGATCTAGGTTTTTTATTATTTATTTTTATTTCAATTTCGCTCACAAATGGTTTTGATGGCATGCCAATGTATCCGTACTTGTGTCAGTAGTCATTATGTCATGGCTGAGCCATTTGTGAGCGAAACTCAAATTCATGCTAAAATTTACCGATAATATTTCATTGAATGATAATATCATTTTCCCTCTGAATGGGTAACATCGTACCTTTTATCAACTTTATCAGACTTATCCTGATATTGTGATCGCTTCGACGTTAAAGTGTGCTTCCTCATCCATGAGAAGGACTACCTCTTATATTCAAATATGTGCTGATATATTTTGCAATTTTGGGAGGGTTAAACATAGTCTTTTCCTTAAAATGTGCTCACTCACCCGTAACAAATTCATAAAAGTGTTAGAATTTTTTGTGGGTGTTTCAAGTTTCAATATACTCTCTCAATCAATGTGAGTAAATTGCAGAGGTTGTGGTTTTATATTGAGGCAATGATGGATACATAGATTTTGTAAGATAGAAAGTATTTTATTCGAAACGAATGAAGAGGTTGTTTCATTAATATACAGACAGTAACAGAACCAAAATAATTATTACGTATAAAAAGGTGGAGTAACTCACATGTCGTTTACAAGCAAAAAGGTTATAATTTGGGCAATATTGAACCTGATAACATGGTATTCTTGTCTGGGGTAGTGCAAGTAATAATCACATTGATAGATTGTTTATTTTACAAAAACGTGCGATACGAAATATGTCTCATGCACCTTACCTTGCCCATACCAACCCTCTATTTATTGAATCAGGTGTTTTGAAATTTCACGATATGTATGTATTTCAGGTACTTATATTTATGTACTTATGTAACAATCACCTCTTGCCAGACTATATTAAAACATTCTTTCAGTTCAATAATGAATATCATGGATACAAT